CAAAAGTCTGTTTAAAATCTGTTTTTCCGTCAACCAGCTGTCGCACCCTTACGAACGACCACCCTCAGAAGTCAAAACTTGTGCGAGCTAAGGAATAACGAGGTCTTACCTTTTAACGTGTGATTCCTAACACGGGGATGTATCTCTCTTGATTTTTTTGCAGAGTACTGAGGAAGGAGCCCAAACAATGATTCACCTTGCTACTGATGAAAGAGTTACAGAAGACAAGGGAAAGCTGTTCTTGGACTGCCGTAAATTTTTTTATCCCTTCCAAATGTATGACGACAAATTCTGTAAAGATGTCTGGGAGAAATCGATACAGTTGTGCAAGATGACCTCCAAGGAAAGTGAGATTTGATAAGTTGGAGTGCATGAGAAACATGGTATATGTCTTAGGTCTTAGCAATGCATAGTAACGATAGAAAGGAGAGGGTTATTATGGAGTCTTGTGTTGATACTATGTTGTAGAACAGAAATTAAAATGATTTTTTTATTGATATCTATTTATTTCCTCTGAAAATGTCCCCTTGTTGACTTGAGTAATAATATCTAAATGAATGATTATGATAACAGAAATTATGTTGAAGGAAAGAGAATTTGAACTTTCTATGTTTTTTACTACTTTTATTTGTTATAACGTTACTGCAGTTTCGTCCTACAAGGACATTTTCAAACTTATACATAAAACTAACCATAGTTTATCACATTAGCCCTTATATATAGCACCCCCTGTAGGTAAAAATAGAGATATTTGGCTTGATTGAGTACCTGAATTTACAATTTACAATGCGGATGTGCTAATAACAGGTTGCACCCGGAATGCCTATGCTTGTGAATTTCCAAGGATTCTGAATTATCGAGTTTGTAACCCTTCTTTGCATAGTGTTAAATTTCCGTATCGTTTGGATTTGGGAACTTGTGGTAGCATGACAAAGAATGTATCGAAAAAGGCGAATCATTTTTTCCTAGTCTGAAGGACCTTTCATGTTTAGCAAACCGTTTTTGTAAATTTCGACCACATTGTCCCACATAAACACTATTACACTCCGGGTACTTGAGCTTATAAACTTCAGATTTCTCCAACTTGTCCACCTTATCTTTTGCATTGAAAAGGAAATCAGATAATCTGGCATGTGGTCTGCAGACCACATGTCAGGTTATCTGATAATAATGACTGTTCTCATAGTCACTCAAAGAATCGAACTCCGATATACAGAATAGTCACTGTTAGGTTGTGAGAATACATTATTTATGTGCATTGTAAAAATTAGATCATTATAAACTTGAGTAGTTCCATACGTTTTCTGACGTATTTTTTTATGATAATCAATATTTATTAAGGAAATTCTTTATCAAATCCATTCTGTCCTTGCAAGTGATTGAAGTCTGTAGTTCGAAGATAGAATATGCAAGTATAGTCTGGAGTCCATTCTATGAGATTCATAACATAGCCATTTTCAGGATAGAGTGTTTTTACCCTGAGAGGTAAGAAAGGTAAAAAAGGTGATGAAGTTCGGAAATATTTTAAAATACCTATTTATCAATAGTTCAATTAATACTGAAGGTTTGGACCTATGGAAATTAGTAGTCACCAATAGGCGACAATGATGAAAGATCTACGGTAAATTTTTCGTTGAGTCCACTCAAAAAACACTCTTATATCAAACTGAAATCCAGCAATTTCAACACCAGACATGCAGGGTTCAACTTGCAGATGCAGTGTGCTCTCAAAAATTGTCTAGGACTCGACTAATGATCCTGTGAATGAGCGAGCTTCCGCATATATGAATAGTGGATATCAAGAGCCTTCATTGGAACCAAAAAAGTCCGCTGCAGTACTGATAATCGACTTGCCACTCAAATCCATATGCTTAGAATGGTAGTGAATGTTTTTTATTCTATTTCTATCATGCACTGTTTGAAACCTTTGGTGTAGTGATGAATATTACTGGAGTTCTATCCGAACACCAAACCGTTATTTTCAACACCTCGACACGTGTTTCAAGAGCAAGATTAAATCTTTCTCTTGAAATTCATTACTTGGTGTCGAGGTGTTGAAAATAACGGTTTCGTGTTGGGATAGAACTCCAGTGTTGTTCTACCTATCATGTCTTCTCCATCCCCTTTACAAATGGGATTCCACATTTACTATATCCTCTCCATACTTAATAATGATTCTTTCAGGTCTTGGTTACCAAGCAGCACTGACTCTTGCCTCCAGAGGATGTAGACTCATCATCGCAGATAAGGTTGATGCCACTGAAACCAGAGAGAAAATCATTAAGGAAACTAAGAATCCTAATGTGGTTGTCAAACACCTCGATTTGGGTTCCTTCGAATCCGTCAGGAAATTCGCGAAGGAAATCATCGAGACCGAACCGCGTTTACATGTCCTAATAAACAACGCAGGAATAGGAACGACAGAGTTGAAATACACTGAGGATGGTCTCCAAAAAACGATGCAAGTGAATTATTTCGGGCATTTTCTGCTCACACATCTTTTGATAGGTAAGATTAATTTCATATAGAAAGTATCATCAAACTGAATTTCATCATCAATTCAATGGTTGAATTGCTGTCTATTAACGGGAAAGAAATCGTAATCTGTGGGAAAACATATTAACATATTCATCATTGAAACTATAAGATCCATTTTTATTTCATTTCCTGTTGACTCTTTGAAAAATGATATAACGAATATACTTGAAATGCATCAAGATTAATGTTCGAAGGTGGGGTTGGCATTGAAAACGAAAGGGTTGCAAATTATATGAACTAACAGAAAACTTGAAAAATCATGAAACATTTTTCTGTAATACTTTCGGGCAGCAATCTATTTCATCTGTGTTGTTAATCTATTAGTCTGGTTCTCATGTCCTTTTTTTGTAACATTTTTCAGCCCTGTCCAAAAATTACGACCAAGGTGTCATTCGATTCATATGTTTGCCTAGAACGTTTAAGGAAAGGTCCAAAACCCGCCGATTAAAATTACAAAAGTTATAAACAATTAAGTGAAAAAAAAATGGGGCTTTAGTTTTTCTTAATATCTCGTAAAATTTTCAAAATTTTGGAAATTTGAAAAATCGAAGAATTACTCCGCATATGGGGAACATTCACACAACGTTTCAATTGAGAGAGCTTTTAATCGCTGAATGGGCAAATGTACCTCAACAAGACATTGACAATCTCATTTTGTCGATATATGTAGGGCCGTAATAAACCAGCGTGGAGGCCATACTTTGTACTGATCCCAATTTTTTTTGAATTATGATTTTTTTTCGGGGTGCCAAAGAAGAGCCATATTGTTTTGTAGTTTTGCTTATATGCGCACTCAGTATTTTTGACCAGGTAATAAATTTTGTTGTAAATTACATTCGTTTAATAATCACCCGTCACCTTTTTTTTCCCTAAAGCGATCTAAAAAAAATTATTGCCATTTTTAAAAATATCCCTAGACTTTTCCGATGTGTGTATTTTGAGCATTTTCAGAAATGACCTCAAGCTTATTACCTCATATTATGTAGTTAAATGTCAATGTATTCAGGCAATTATTAAAAGTTCCTTCATTTTGTAGTAGTTGATGATAGTGACATTGTATTCTAGGGTTGTGAAGCATTTGTCTGGATTTTCAGAAAGATGTGTCAGGAGACCCCCTCCTTCTATTTAATTTTTTTCCCAGATGGCGTCCAGTCGCCATCTTGAAAGTTTCATCTATCAATTTCACTTCAAAATAAATTATTCACGCATTAATTTCATTATTCTAAATTTCAATTTTTTGAGTTGACCCGTTCAAGAAATGAAAGGAGGTAGGACATTGAAGAAAATCACTGTATAAGGAATGTGAAGGCCCTGAAGTGATCCCTTGTGGTGCACCATAATTGTAAGAAATAGTATTCAATTTTTTTTTGAAGTATTATGAGGTAACTTTGTATACCATCATAGATTGCATATGAGATTACATGTTTTCGATGATACAAATTCATAAAGTGATTTATTGTTTCTCATATATCGGATTTACTATATCCTTGTCGATGAATTATATCGAATGGATACCATTTGTGACTGGGCATATAACATGGATTTATTTTATCATGCATATCACATAAGTACTCGTACATTACATAATCGACATACATTTCTGTTCCAAGATGAACTGCCGAATTTTCCAATACAGATTCCAAGTTTTTGAGCATCCTCTTAGAAATAGACTTTGCGTTTGTCAATAGTGAAATTGATAACGTCAATAACGTAGACATGAATGTTATCAGCGCCACTAACTTGACCTTTGATTTTATAAAAAATGCTATTTGCATTTTACGTTGCTTACAGAAAACGGAATTGAGTTAGGCTTTCGTAATCGAGTTCCATTATCTACCTGCGTTCGTTCTGAATGAATCTCTCAACGTTTCTCCTATGTGGATGACTAGCATCTTCAGTTGTACTCCTTTTCAACTCCAGTGTAAATGACCTGTTCGTTTAATTTTTCACACTTTCATAAACACTTTAACTTTTGAGAAGGATTTGCACTTTTACAATACGATACCAAATTGTCTCGAATGAATCTTTTTGATCATTGACTCCAAACATTTCACGTTTCGGCTGAGCACAATGAACTATTATTACTATCAATGATATGATATACTAATATTATTTTCAGACCTCTTGAAGAAATCAGGTCCAAGCCGAATAATCTTCACAAGTTCCTGCGGAGCGTATTGGACCAGAATGGAAATTGAAGATTTGAATCCTTCCAAGGATATCCGCCACGTTTTCCAGACCTATAACAACTCCAAACTGTGTCAAGCTATCGCTGCTAAGGGTTTTGCTGAGAAGTTGGCTGGCACAGATGTAACTGCATACTCGCTCCATCCGGGAGTGGTTAGATCCACGTTGTTCTGGAAGGCTCTTCATGAGGAAAAAACCGTCTGGTCGGTCATGTTGATTTTGCTGACAGTTATATATGGAAAGGTATGAAATATATACTCCTGCTGGGTTTGTTACTCCTCAAGATTCAGTACGATGACTAGCAGGAGAATAAATTCACAGTGGAATTCTTGGGAAGGGTCAGGATGTGGATCTTGTCCATTTCTTGGGGCTAATTCCAACAGTCTTGCTTCATGTAATATATAGTTTTGTTGGACGTTCGTCACATTCATCTTGAACTTGCAATGCACTGTTTGGAATCTTTTGGTGGAGTTTTTTCCCAACACCAAACCGTTATTTCAACACCTCGACAAGTGTTTCGATCACCAAGTGATCATCTTCAAGAGGAAGATCAAACTAAACTACACAATCATCTTGAATGAATCTCACTTGATCGTGCATTACTTGCATCTTGAGAACCAATTACTCACATAAGCTCTAAATATATATTTTTCCCTTCTGCAGTTGAGATGTCCATTAGGAAACACAAATTTTTATGGTGTCCTTTGAGTGAACAGTATCCACTGGGTAGCCCTGTATTCTGAACCGATTCCTGCTCTGTTGCACGATTTCTTCGCTTCCGGCGCGTTAGGGAAAAATGATAAGAGTAAATTTTTACCATGCGCGCTCACATCGTGACGAAACACCCTGAAGTTGGCTTCTTCTTCTTTATATTATATGGCCGATGCTTCTCAGTCAAGGGCATTTGGCCAGACAGAAGCTTCGTTCATGGGCGCAGCTACATTGCTCGAAACAATGCTGCAACCTTAAGTTTTCTTTCATAAATAACAACTCCATTATCGCAGTGATGACCTCGTCGAACTTAAACGAATAATCAAATGAATCACAGCGGTAAACAATTTGAATACAGCGTTTTATTAAAACTTTCAATGTATTTGTAATTTTTTTTTCTATCATTAGTGTCGTTTTTTCTACAAACGTAGAATAACGCGAAGGATAAAAATTTTAGAAATATTTTTAAAAAGGTTATTGAATAGATAACCAGATATATTTGTTCACAATTCATCTTATATTTCTCATTGACCCTCGATGTGTCCCAATTACTAATTGATTTTGGTTAACCGTTAGCTTGCACAAGTTCCGACATTCAGTGATAATGATAATAATAATAATACAGGACTCTATACAATATAAGCGCAACCTCTCTATGGCCTGGATCGATTACCGTGAGGCATTTGATACAATTTCGCATTAGCATCACAGATGCAGAAGGCTGTCATTCTAAGCTCACTGAGTTTGCACGTTGGGCACACTTACCCAACGGTGTGGGGAGTGGTCATTGGTTGATAATGCTGGCGCCCCCTCCTGAATGTATTGGGGCTTCGGGGGATAGGGCCTGACCAGCGCACACTACGGTAAAAAAAAATAATAATTGACTTAATTCGTCACAAGAGATACAGGATATTTGATTTGAAATTATATTTATTGAAGAAGACCTTATGACGAAGAGGCTAAATGTCAACTGAAGCTATTCTTCAACTCAAACCAGGGTTGTAGTTTACATGAAAGTGAAATCTGTTCAACAAAAATAAAATCATTTACATATCATCTCAATGAATCCTTTCAGTTGATTTTAGTTGATATCGTTTCACATCTGAGTTTCTTTTTTGTATGAAAATAACCAGAAAGGTTAAAATGGGGTTTTTCCATGACCACCACAGTTTCTACGAACGGATCTTCATAATTTTACAAAGAAACCACTAGTGGCGTATTCAAGTTCTCTTCTTGTGGGATAAAACCATTCTGGAGTGGTAAATAAAAATCTGAGTTTGACTATTGAATTATTCACAAATTACATCAATGAAAATGTAAAACCAAAAACGTCCTATACGTTTCAAAAACGTCCTATATTACTGGTTAGTCCTGTTTTTCTCATCCTCATGCCTGAATATGATGTATCTGTTTGGAAGTCTGTTTAAAATCTGTTTTGCCGTTAACCAGCTGTCGCTCCCCTACGAACGACCACCCTCAGGAGTCAAACTTGTGCGAGCTAAGGAATAACGAGGTCTTACCTTTTAACGTGTGATTTCTAACACGGGGATGTATCTCTCTTGATTTTTTTGCAGAGTACTGAGGAAGGAGCCCAAACAATGATTCACCTTGCTACTGATGAAGGAGTTACAGAAGACAAGGGAAAGCTGTTCTTGGACTGCCGTAAATTTTTTTATCCCTTCCAAATGTATGACGACAAATTTTGTAAAGATGTCTGGGAGAAATCGATACAGTTGTGCAAGATGACCTCCAAGGAAAGTGAGATTTGATAAGTTGGAGTGCATGAGAGACATGGTATATGTCTTAGGTCGTAGCAATGAATAGTAACGATAAAAAGGAGAGGGTTATTATGCAGTCTTGTGTTGATACTATGTTGTAGAACAGAAATCAAAAGGATTTTTTTATTAATATCTATTTATTTCCTCTGAAAATGTCCCCTTGTTGACTTCAGTAATAATATCTGAATGAATGATTATGATAACAGAAATTATGTTGAAGGAAGAGATTTTGAACTTTCTATGTTTTTTACTACTTTTATTTGTAATAACGTTACTGCAGTTTCGTCCTATAAGGACATTTTCAAACTTATACATAAAACTAATCATAGTTTATCACATTAGCCCTTATATATAGCACCCCCTGTAGGTAAAAATAGAGATATTTGGCTTGATTGAGTACCTGAATTTACAATTCACAATGCGGATGTGCTAATAACAGGTTGCACCCGGAATGCCTATGCTTGTGAATTTCCAAGGATTCTAAATAATCGAGTTTGTAACCCTTCTTTGCATAGTGCTAAATTTCCGTATCGTTTGGATTTGGGAACTTGTGGTAGCATGACAAGGAATGTATTGAAAAAGGCGAATCATTTTTTCCCAGTCTGAAGGACCTTTCATGTTCAGCATACCGTTTTTGTAAATTTCGACCACATTGTCCCACATAAACACTATTACACTCCGGGTACTTAAGCTTATAAACTCCAGATTTCTCCAACTTGTCCACCTTATCTTTTGCATTGAAAAGGAAATCAGATAATCTGGCATGTGGTCTCCAGACCACATGTCAGGTTATCTGATTTCCTTTTCAATGTCAAAGATAAGGTGTTCAAGTTGGAGAAATTCAGTTGGAGAAAAATTCAGGTACTCAATCAAGCCAAGTAACGCTATTATCACCTACAGGGGTGCTATATATAAGGGCTAATGTAATAAACCATGGTTAGTTCCATGTATGAGTTTGGACTGGTATGGACTGAATTTTGGACCAGAAAATCACGCCACAAACCATTGAGAACCTAATTGTTGACACAGAGATGGCTTTGAACCAAGTAGAAGCATCAAAAGTAAACGAAATCAACACGCTGAAACAAATAATCAAAAAACCAGAAAAGTCTCCGGGGAAACCAGCAATCACGAAAGCCATCAAATCAATAAAAGAGAAGTTGATCTCCAACAACCTCACAGCAGTTAAAGCTGACAAAAGTGACGCCGCAGTTATTATTGAAAAACAGGAATTAAGTATGAAAGTGAACAAATATATAACGGAAAATGATTTTAGCACGATGAATCACGATCCAACCACAATGTATGAAAGACAAATTAATAGCCTAATAAAATCCAACAAACGGATCTTTAACAACAAAGCATTGAACAGATACACAGTCAACAACCCAAAAGCACCAAAACTCAACGCACAGATAAAGATACATGAGGAAAATGAACCTATGAGACCGGTTATCAATTTCACCAAAGCACTTTCATACAAAATTTCAAAAATTATAGCCGACGAACTGAAAAACAAAATCAACAGGAACAACGACCCCAGCATTAAAAATTCAATGGCACTCACAGACAGAATCTCTACGACAAATGTCAGCCAGAACACTAAACTGTTCTCGTTCGACATAAAAAACATGTACTCCAACATACCAGTCAACGAAAGTATAAACATCATATCTGAGAAACTAAAACACCAAAACATAGACAAAACCTACATTAACCAAAAAGAACACAGTCTGAATACAATACTTGATCAAAATTATTTCGAATCTGAAAGGAAAATTTTTAAACAAACAGATGAACTAGCGATGGGATCCCCACTATCTAGCATTATATCCGAAATATACCTGCAAACCATAGATGAGAAAATCTTAACAATAATTTCGAGGAACAAGTACAAATCAAAACACAACAAGACCTCACATTCAATATATTAAACAAAACCATACACATTCCTAGAGAAGATCTAACCCAATGAAGAGTACCTGATGCAGTACAAATACAGGCAAATTTACCTAAATTACCTGAAATACCTGAGTTGAGACGCTCTGACCGTATAAAGAGGCAGACGACAGGATGACAAGCTCAGTTTGAGGAGTGTAATGGCTGTTCTCATAGTCACTCAAAGAATCGAACTCCGATAGACAGAATAGTCACTGTTAGGTTGTGAGAATACATTATTTATGTGCATTGTAAAAATTAGATCATTATAAACTTATCACACACCAGGATGTTTCTTTTTGGCTCTGTATATTATAGAGCGTTTTCTGTCCAGAAACTTTGGAACATCACCAGAATATCTATCGGAACGCGTTCCATTAGAATAGTTTTCAGTAGTTCCATACGTTATCTGACATATTTTTTTATTATAATCAATATTTATTAAGAAAATTCTTTATCGAATTCATTCTGTCCTTGCAAATCATTGAAGTCATAGCTGTTGTTTTCACCAGTTAGAAGTGTTCTCCTACACCAATGCCTTTGAATTTTTATCACCCTTTTGGCACAACAATATTTTTCAACAAATGAGTTCTGAAAAAGTTGTAAAGAATATCCATCATTCAATATGCTGCAGTTCATCCTTACCTGGAGGAAGGATGGTTCTTGAAGCTATTGAAATTGAAAAACTCATAAAATAGTTGGTCAATCTGAATTTTACTTAGTTAGGACTTCCATTGTCCGAAACCATTGATGCTTTGCGCGAACTGATATTGCAATATCGTCATGTGACCTATCGTGATATTGAGACAACCTTAAGCATTAGTGGGACTAGCATACATTCAATATTGCATAAACATTTGACTTAAAAAAATGTTCGCGTTGGATCCCAAACAATTTGTTAATCGCTCAAAAAAAGGCTCGTGTCGATTGGTCGAAGGAAATGCTCAAAAAATACGATCGCGGTGCTTCGAAAAACGTCTATGACATCGTGACAGGTGATGAATTGTGGATTTACGCGTATGAGCCCGAAAGTAAACAGCAGTCCACTGTATGGGTGTTTCAAGACGAGCCAAATCCAACAAAAATTGTTGGCACACGAAGCACTTCCAAGCAAATTGTCGCTTGTTTGTTCGGAAAAACTAGACGCAACCTTATCACTAGAACAACACAGAATAGTCAATTCTGAGTGGTACACTGTTGGTACACTGTTTGCCAGTTGTCTTCCAAGAAATCAGGAAAACCAACCGCCGAAGACATCGGCTCTCACACATCGGCTCAAACAACTGCATTTTTGAGCACCCAAAACATCGATTTGATGAGTCATCCGCCGTATAGTCCTGACTTGCCACCGAATGATTTCTTTTTATTCCCGCACGTAAAAAACAAACTGAGGGGGTGTAGTAATGAATAGTACCGGAGTTTCTTCCCAACACCAAGCCATTATTTCAACACCTCGACACGTGTTTCGATCACCAAGTGATCATCTTCAAGAGAAATATATAAAATTCAACGGGAAGATTTAAACAGTTCGAATCTTCCTTTTGAAGATGATCACTTGGTGATCGGAACACATATCGAGGTGTTAAAATAACGTTTTGGCGTTGGAAAAAACCCCAGCAATATTCACTTCAAAACAAACTGTCAATCTATGCTACTTGAAAATGAAACTTGAAAGTATATAAAAACTATATATTCCATTGAAAATTATCACAGAAAATCTTTCTAATCAGCAACTTCTCCAGATTTGTGTCCGTTGCCGTCAATCAATTCAAACTTCGTCTTAGCCGAGTGTTTACTACTTTCTGAATCAGCTTCATCGCGTTGCATATATTCAACCCCTGAGTAGCCTAGAACCCCAACGATCAGCAATCCCATCAGGAGGTAGATTTTGAGGTAGTTGCACAAATAAGGGCTGCACACATAAGTGATGACAGACCCGGTAGATTCCCAAAGTCGGAAGTTGCTGTAAGCTGCTTCTTCTTTGCCCGGGAAAAGGATGCCGCTCAAAGCTGAAAAAGGTCTCATAATATAGATACTGTATAGTGCTTATTGTTTTATGATAATAATAATAATAATGGTCTTTATTATTTCCAAAAGAAAAGTACATATTTCTCATAATTTTTACCTAGAAATAAAATATTGGAAATAATAGGCGAAGTTCAATTCATTCAGCAAGAATATCATTGATGACTTGTTCTACCATAAAATTAATCAAAAATATAACCCCATCAATTCAAAGAATTCAATACATTTCAGAATGCTCGCGGTGTACATTGTAAACAGTAAAGGGCCCAGTGTGGATCCCTGGGGAACTTCAGAGCAAGGTATTGAGAGCAGTTGCTATTGATGTTGACTTTCTCTCGCCTTTCACTGAGATATTCACGCAATAGTGATATCGCTCCATCTGAAAGCCCTAAGTGATGCAGAATAACTAGTAATACAACAACATGAAACCGATTATTTTCGATAATCAAAAATAAAATTCTCTCAGAGTATCATACCTCTAACAAAGCTGAAGCGAACGATAAGCAACAAATCTGCCATCGCCCCTCTACCTATAGAAGAGGAACTAACGAACCGCATATCCAAATGGCTCAAATCTTCGTATTGAGAGATGAATCTATAGCCAATTTTCATTTGCAGACCAACTGGTCTGCAAATGTGCCCGTTCCAATAATTGAGAATAGATTCATGCAATTGTATGGCCAAAAGAATATGCAGGAATTACTTCTGTGAATTTTAAGTCAGTATTACTTCTTTGTTTAGACATGAAAACCGAAAAGGTCATAGTTGGGTTGGGTTATCCAATGAATTGATTACCCTCTTCAAATCGTATTTTTACAACCGTAAGCAGTACGTTCAAATTAAGGGCCTCAAGTCTATCGAATATATAGCCACATCTGGTGTACCACAAGGATCAAATCTAGGACCCCTACTGTTCAATATGTTCATCAATGATATCGG